TTCTTCCGTTTAATATTGTTTAATATTTATATTATATAATAATTTTGGTCGAATGCACATACTTATTTCTAAAAATATCTAAAGCATATATTAGGCTAGTATAATATAGACGACAACTTAATATTGAAATAAAAATAATGCTGTAGCCTAATCATTAAATAGATATCAGGCTTATGATGAAGATGATGATGATGATGATAATCATCATAATAATAATAGCAACAACACAGGCAGGTCATATATGAGCTTTTGGTCAAGCTCTAAAAATATAACCGGTTTCCTATGATTAAATGTCGCTTTTTAAAATCAGGCGCTTTCCAGAGACTTCCCTCAGAGCTGCATGTGATCAGTCTGCAGGCCTGATGTTCAGGAAGAGGCGCACAGACCAGAGAAAAGAGGCTGATCAGTTTCTACCGCGGGGGGAAATATTTCAAACATTTCCCGTCGGCGGCAAAACCAGCTGAGGGTGATCGCTGCTGGTTCACACCGAGCAGGCCTGAAGTCAACCTGCGGCTCCTAAAAATGAAGCTTTCCAAAGGTCACCGCGGTGCGTTTGTCCTCTTAAAACAAATAGACTATTGAAGTGCGCACCTGGATTATAACTCAGCAAAATCTGTAGAAACGGTGAAATAAAGTTAACGACATCAAAACAAATGAAGACACAGCTAATAAAATATATATTTTAACGCCCCCCCCCCCCCCAAAAAAACCAAACAAAAAAAAACAAAAAAAAAAACATATACATTTCGGAAATACTGTCGTGATATTTTACTGACATACAGCCTGCAGCATATAGAAACAGCAAAGTTTCGTATTGAAATACTTTACGTATAAATATTAGGATATAGAATATATCGAAGTGACATTTCATCAGTTACAGCTTCTACGGGTTTAACTGAACTGATATTATTCAGCATAGAGATCAACGCAGTAGATGTTCTGGGCTTGTCTGACGCTTTAGCCTAATAAAAAAAGATTGTGGAAGATTACTTTAGCTTTAAACAAATTATTGAGGATACCCTACATTTGAATCGTGAGGAATCTGGAGTTTGATATCATATTAATGTCGTTTTGACTTAAATTAACATAAAAACAAGCTGTGGATAGGTCTACTTATTTGTATGAAATGTTGGATGATTTTGTAGAGTAGCCTAAATGCTTGTGCCTAAAGTTCTGGCAAAGTAAACCAGTAAATATTCTGCGCGCGCGTAGGCTTATAGGAGGTGGGTTTAAATCCCCGTGGAAGGAATCTCGTTAAATACAAGCAGTAAAAACTAAAACCAACTGTTTGCTGTGTACATCCCAATTATAGCCCCGATGGCATCTCATTAACCCAAAACTAAAGCAAGAGGACGGGCTGACTCTCTTGCTTTAACTAAATCAGACAAAAATCAGGTTTGATCAGGTGAGGTTTACATGGGACATTTTCATAAGGTTCAATGCATTCAAATATTTTCTCTCAAACACTTGCTGAATTCATCTAGCAGTCATTTTTACATTATAACTCATACAACGCGCTGTTCTTGCCAGTTTTGTTTGGTTTTCCGTTTTTACCAAACTGTGGCTCTTTATGCAAAACAGTCATAAACTCAAAAATGTCTCTGAGGAACCTTTGTTTTCTGATCTCATCCCACCAGACAGACACGTGGAAGGTGGGCGGTAACGGCCACACCTCACGTTAATATTCAATTAGTAAAAGAGAGCGTTTGACCCCGCCTGACCCCAGGGATGAAACAAGCAGCGAGCAGTAAAAGCGTCCAACCTGACAGCAGCTCTCGGGTTGTTTCAGCACCTTCCACCGCGGGCCAAGGACTGCGATTCCTCACGCTGGACTAAATATAGTGTGGACAGCAACTGCAGGAGGCGCAGACACTGACAAGATGTGAGATTGGCCTGTGGGCAAGGATCCTTAAATTCACCTGACGCTCAGTTTTAGGTGTAAGATAACAGTGCGGGTGTTAAACTGTGCATTTAATGTTCCTACTGCGATGATCACAAGTTCACCATTTTAAGCACAGAGCGACAGGATGCATGACAGACAAAGAAGCTGCGTTGTTATACCAAGACACTTTCCCTTAAGTGTTGGTGAAAAGTTAAAAAGTAAATCGAATGACAAAAAAAAAACACAACATCAAAGTAGGAAATAAACAGTCTGATTGTGTGTGATCCCCTGTAATGCGTAGAATAAATCAGCCTACTGTTAAATCGCCGTTTGATTTTTGTGGGGACATGAGAGAGATCTAAAAGAGTAAACATTCTACTGAAAATTATATTTGAAAAAGACAAGCTAGCTTGGTATTACTAATGTTTTCTAAATGTGAAGTCAGAATATTACAATAAAACTAGAGTTAATTACATCAAGAAAAATATCAGGCAGCAGCAGTGTGTACGGATAAACATTACATTCCAATGCTTCGACCGAAAACTAACTAGGCTACCTAAATAAATAAAGTTATATTATATGACACCTGGTCCTCGGATGTGCCGCCGTAAAAATGAAAAACGTGATTTTTACACTAAACATTGACACAGTTATCCTCCAAAACAATGAGGAAGAGACAGATTTATCCCAGCTGAAGCCCCATAGGAACATTACAGGATAAACAGGCTACAGACATTACATCCAAAAAATACCATAAAGTGTGTATTTTTATATCCAACACACGCACGCATTTTTATGATAGGCTATGCTGTAGCTATAGACCATAATTTACATTAATTAGTATGCGTATCATTCTGCCCTAAATTAAATGAATTGCGTGATAGCGCGATAAAACAATGAAATGCTATTTGATTAATTAGTAATAATACTGTCAAGGTCACGTGTGTCTGCACAGAGCGAGACGTCCATCAGTAAACAGGATATAATGTCTGAAGGTTAAGAGACTTCATTTCCAATATTACTCACTGTAAGTTCAACATCAGTAAAAAAAAAAAAACAACCTTTTATTTGTTCTGTAGGGTAGCTGTTTCCATGTGACACGATTTCCATTTACCACGATTTCTTTAAAAAGTAACATTTATTACGACTCTATTAAAGTTTTTACTTCTGCGCATAAAACGGTCGAGTTACGGAGTCGCTTTCATATTAAAACAGACTACTTATTACACCACACCGACATCACTGCTGTCCCACTTTACACAGAAACATGTATTTGTCATAATGCTGCGGTCCTAACAGGCCGCTGTGATTTACAGCCTGGTGCTGTGCGTATATGTACTCTATATATTTTTATTTATACTCTGTCAGCTGCTTATGCCAACAGAAAAAAAGGACCAAAGGGAAATAAACCAAGCAAGGATACGTTCTGTTCCCAGGTAAACACTGAGATGGAAAAACCACAGGGTCCAGCTCCATAGTGTGTGTGTGTGTGTGTGTGTGTGTGTGGTGTGAGTCCCTGCAGGAATATTATAGGACTAGAGCAGTGCACTTTCAATTAGAGAAAGTGTGATGGTTAAAACTGCAAAAGTAGAAACAGCAGGAGGATAAACTGTGGGGAGAAGACCAGTGGGTACAATAAAGGAAGGAAGAATGAAAGGATGAAGAAATGAGACAGAGAAGGGGGGGGGGGCATACAACAACAATAACAATAATAGAAAGAAAGGAACAGGAGAAAGAAGGAAAGACAAGGTAAAGAGAAGAAAGAATGAATGCGTGATGAGAGACTCAAAGAAAGAAGACTATAGAGGAGAGATCAAATCAAAGAGAAAAAACAAAGAAAGAAAGGGGAGAAAGAATTGCACAACTAAAAAGAGGAAAAAATGAAAGAAGGGGAATAACAAGGAAATATAGGAACGCAAGAACGAAAATAAAGAGAGGGACACAGAAAGGACACAAGACGTAAAAAATACTATTCCAAATGTTCAAGTCACTGCTGACACTGGGTCATTATATCTGTTAATATAAATATTGTATAAATTCATCAGAATGGGAATACTGTGTATTGGAAAGTTATGTATAAATAATATAATAACAATTATTATTTCTCCTCAGAGAGAATGACATCATGTGTGCATGTCACATACATACATCTTTTTATTTAAGCAAAGTGTGGATGTGATCATTTCCAAGTGTTTACGTGTAAACACAAATCTACAGCAAAGTGTTCAAATTAGATATATAAGTTCAAACAAGTGTGGATGTGTAAGCAGTTAAGGTGGAATTGTGGGCACGCACAAGTATCTTCTTTAGGAGCACCGAGAGTGTGTGCGTGTGTGTGGCTGTTAATCAACAGAGAAGTTTTACAGTGTAGAAGTGTAAGGTTGTGCATACCAGTTCCAATGTGTGTCAAGATGTCAACTAAATCAATGTTAATGAAATATTTTCAAATAAAAGAAAAAAACTATTGAGCTGCAAAAATACAAAATAATATATTCTTTTTTTAAAATACAGAGAAAAAGACAAAACTGTGACACAAGCAAACGACAACACAACAGCAGCAGCGTTCCTGATGACTATAATCACCACACCCTATCACCATCAGTGCTTAGTTTCAAGTCGTTAACTCTGATTTCAAGTTTTTTTACATTTGGACTCCTCATGCGGTGTGATGACGTGTGTGGAAGCGGCAGAGCGGAGACCTGCAGCAGACTGAAGATCAGCAGATGGAACGGTTACTGAAGCCCTTACGTATCGATGCCTTTTTCACCACTGTGCTTCGTGTTGTGCATGACGTACACTGATTCTTCAACGGTAAACGATGCTGTACTGCACGGTCTAAAATGAGCAAGCAATAAAGAATCACGTTGTCCTGGTCATTCTGGAAAAGATGATGCTCCTCAGTGATCTTCAGTATGCAAGCAGGAGTAACTCACCTTTTGTGTGTTTCTCAAGATTTTCTTGAGTTATTACACCTGATAATTGTTTTCAGTCACATGTCTGTGTTTCATTGCAGTGTTCTGTAGGGCAATACTTAGAGTGTAATGCATTTTTCCTCTAGCTCTTTCCAGTACATGATCTTTGCTTGCATTCGTCTGAGACCAAATGATGTATTCTGTATATCTGTAGGAGGGTTTATTTCTTGAATATGTACTTTTATTTGTATGTTCACAGTCCTTTCTTCCATTTCTGCCGGCTTTGTAAAGCACTTTTGATGAACTGTGTTGTTTACTGTTGTGTTTGAGTGCTCAGGGGAGAAATAGTGTCTGAATCACATGTTAAAACACCAATGAATGTTTTGAATCTTACTTGCAAATATTTGTTTACATGTTTTTTTCTGTTGGAATTTAGGGAAACACATACAGCCAATGAGTGTGTAGTGCATGCACAAAAACAAAAGTGACATCTTTCATTCTTGCTGGGCTGTGTTCAGAACTACAACTGCATGAAATTAATTCATTCCAATGAGACAAACTCAGAGGAGAAAATAACAATATGTTGTCCACCAATCAGTTTGCAGTCTGAACAAAACATTACACTGCAGTTGAGTCTTTTCCACGTTGCTTTCAACACATTGTGTTATGAAATGAGTTACATCCTTGAATATCCTAAAGATATAAACAGTCATTGGAATAAAATTTGATATCAGCAGCAGTTAAGTACTGAGCACGGCCTGCAGTATAAATGTGCCTTTACTTTCCAGCCCAGCTGCCTCTCAGCAGAATCCAACTCGCTGTCGGACCTCTCTGAGGACCGGCGCAGCCAGTTCCCGAGCCCTGCGGTTCCCTAGGGCCAGCACTCCCTCCAAGTGGGCACGATCCGACCTTAGCCTCTTGACCTCCTCCCTGATGGGAGTCAATCTCTGTATCACAGCCTCAGTTACAAGCTTCTTATAGGCACCTGTGTCCAACCCTCTGGCCTGGGACACTGCTTCTTCCACACTGATCATTGCCATGGCAGCATGGATCGTCACCAGGTTGGAAACACCTGGCCGCGTCTCCGGGTCAAACGTGACCTCAGAGGTGAAGTCAGTAACAGCACGGCGAACCTTGAGCACGATGTCATCAGGAGAGTCTGTGATGGTAATCGTCGCCATCGTTTGGGGGTCGGATTTGGACATTTTGGCAGACGGGTCACGCAGAGATTTAATCTTTCGCGTTGAGCCTTTGGGAGGAAACCAGATTGAGAAATCCATTAGTATGATGATGAAAAAGTATTTTTCTAAACAATATATTGATTTTAAAATAAGACATCCAGCAGTTGAAGAATTTGACACATTGTAAAATTACCCCCGGCATCAAAGTTAGGATCACATCAGACTGGAAAAATTTTATCAATCATATTTTTGAAACTCACAAAACTAAGCGCCTGTCTTTAGCCTGACAGGCAAAAACCAGGGCAAGCTTAATGATCTGAGTGTACTGAAATAAGTGAAGGAAACCTAAATGAGCATATGAGCTTCTTTCTTCTTGAATTTGTCAACTGAACATTAAGAGAACACTTTAGAGAGATTTTAGTGATTCAATCAAAAAATGTCTAAAATGATGATAAATCTGATAAAAAACAATAATTAATCATTCAAAATTAATACTTTTTTGGGGTCAATCTGTCCATTATCCTTCTGTAAATAAACGTATTGTTCAGTGAAAAATCATTTCAGTGCTAGTTTATAGGGTTTTGTTGTTTTGTTTTTACATCTAGTGATAGATTTCAATTGGTACATTTTTATTTATTTATCAAAATGGATTTTCACAGCATTTTCAAATTCTTTAAATTCAGATGTGAATGATGAGCTGGATTCTTTGTGCAGGAATGAATAAATGAACAAAGAATTAAAGTTTCATTATTTCTGCTTGGTGTGTGTGTGTGTTTGTGTGTGTATGGCGGTGTGTGAGAAAGCGCCAACAGACGTATCTCAGTGTGAAGTGATGGGCAGACAGTGGGAGCCGGGATTTCCTTTCTTTTCTTATTTATCAATCCCCTCCTTCCGCCATCTTGCAAGCGGCAATTCTTTTTCTATATTAGTACAGTCCACATCCGTCCCACATGCCACGTACTGTTTATCGCCATGGAGACGTCTTTATTTCAGGCAAACTTTAAAAAAGTCTTTGGTTCGGTTTCAAAGGGAAGGTGGTGACTTGGCAACTCCGCTTCGCCAAAGACAAGAAATGAGGATGGGATCCAGCAATCTGAGCTAAACACTGCTGCCTGCCTGCTTACACACACACAAACACACACACCCCCTCCTTGAAGTCATCCCAAGGACATGCCCCCAAATCTATTATCACTCTATTATTCTGATACAAGAGGAAGAAAATAATTCTTTAATCAAAGCCGCACTGCACACATGACTGACTTCATCTTGTGCTTTTATGATCCTGATAATCAAGAAGGATGAAACTAGGCGCTCAGAACATGTTAACCATGTGTGTGTAAAAACTCTTGAGGACATACTAGAAAACACTGAACAATCATTTCAAAATAAAAACATTTTTAAATGTAACCTTTATTTAACCAGGCCTCCAACTGGCCAAAGTTGCTGCCAAAACAGAATTTGACCAAGGATATGAGTTCCTTCCACAGACTATTCCCAGTGGCTCAAGCAGAAAACATGACGGTTTTCTTATCCATCACTATCCAACAGTTGGCAACAGACAACGAATATGCTTATCGTCAGAGGTATGTATTGTAAAATGAAAATGTTTGCAAAGCTGCGCTTCTGTGGTTTAGAGGTTAACATGCCAACCATGAACTGCGACATCCACGGTTCAAATCCAGCCGATAACCTCTGTTGCACGTCATCCTCCTTTCTCTCCCTTGTTTCCCAAAGAGGTCAAAAGTCCAGCAACACTTTGTCAGACAAGCGCATTTCAGCTTTTTTCCTTCTTCATGCACCTATAGGTGAAGACGTGCTGGGAATCCCTGCTCTGCTTTCCCTTTGATTCCTGTTATCTCTCTACCACGATAGTAGTAGAGAGATGAAAGATGAAGGCATATCTAATAAAAGACATGAAATGGCCTCCAAATATTTGAAAACAAAATAGTTTGCAAAGATGAACACTTCTGAAAACAACACAGTTATTGACATTTGTTGCTTTGAATTTGGCTTTTTCAAGTTGTTTGCCGAGCAATCGTTACTGACGTTGCATCGTCATCTACATATTTCCAGCAACAGGGTTTGATGATAGAAATTATTTTAGTGACATCAGATATCACAAGTGGCAGTCCCTCAAATTGCAAAGACTTCACACTTCTTTCTAAAGCTGCTGTTTTGCTTAACAATCATTCAGGAAAAAAGAGGGAAATGCAAAGAGACAAATTTATACACACACACACACAAGCAGAAAAATATAACAGAATGCAACATAAGCAATCTGCACTGCACAAACTCTCATAAGATTGAAGACTGTAATTGAATTTTTAAAATGTTATTTTATTAAAACGGGTTTTAAAAAATCTGCCAGTGCACTTAGTGTATGTAACCTTGTTTCCAATGCTAATCAAGTTTGTTTGGTCTAAACTTAAATTTAAACAAGCTGATTTCTATTACAGACAAAAATAATAAAAAGCTCAGATTTTAATTTAAAAAATCACCATGGCGCTCTCTCAAGTCATATGTACAACTCACAGCTGTCACTGTGAAACATGAAAATACTCAGTAATTACAAAGTATAAATTCTATCTACAGTTTACGAGCATCTAAGGGCCGATATCTCATAACATAAAAAGCTGCTAATACTAATGGAATATTATAAAATGTGTGCGTTTCAAAAGGAGTTTGATGTGCTTTGCTGCAATGCTGTTTAAGAAGTTTTTCCACTCTTACAAAAGGAAACTGATGAAACCACTGGATATATTCTGCACATAAAAATAAAAATGGAAAGCTCCCGAATTCTGCCACCAATCACTGGCTACCAGAGATATATTTCATTGTAGGTAGTCAAGCCCTTCTGTAAAGGCAGCCGGGTTTTATTGTATTTATTCGGCATTCAATCAATGGGTGGCACACCTTCAAAAGTCCATATGTGAAGAAACCTAGTGTGTGTATGTGTGCCACCATGCCTGTAAATGTGTGTAGGAGCATGTTCTTACTGAGCAGCGCGCCAGGTTCAGGAAACAAGTCTCCGTAGTGGTTGTTGAAGATGCGAGCGAGATCCTGAGCCAGCTCTAAATGCTGGACCTGATCCTCTCCGACAGGGACGTGAGTGGACCTGAGAGAAGAACGCACAGCACAAAATGAGCTTCCTAAACAACCGTACACATTGACAGCACACGAGATAAAATACACAGCAAGATGTGAACACAAATTGAAGACACTTGGAGTCGCTGCTGGAGCTCTCTTCAGCATTGGTATAGCAACAAACTGTCACTTGGGATGAAGCAATCCATTCATTTTCTCTTTAATAAAATCCAGTTAGCATTAGAGATGAGGGTTTTCGCTGCTACATCTGCCTTTTTTGCCCAGGAAAATGGGTTTTGGCTGAAGAGATCAATTATAAATTTGTTCAGGAATCTGTAGTATTAATTTTTGACTGCAGAAAAAAAAAAACACACCACCACCACACACCAGATCACTGATGTGATCACCATCTTGGCTCGCATCAAAATTTACTGACGCAGCATCAGCACTTTAACTTGCAAGATCGTACATAAATGCAAGTTGTCAAAAACACAAGTAAAACAGCACGGTTTAACTGCACTTTAAATACATTAAAGAGTATTAAAAGGCCGACTCACACATATTATATAAAAACAAATTCTGTTACTTAGGTTTTCCTACTTGTGGAGATAGTTTTGGTTTTATTTGTCCTGATTTTTAGTTATCTGTCTCGTAGATTTGTGTCTACACCCCCACATACAATGGAATTTTCTTTCAGGCGCCTTCCAAGACAGCCACTGCCATCAGTGTATAAATGTGACATGTAGTGTAAAGCCCTTTGAGTGGTCGGAAGACTAGAAAGGCACTATACAAGTAAAGTCCATTCACATTTGTTTTGTTGCTCCCGACACTGAAAGCAACATCTCTCTCTAGACACAATTTCCCTTATTACTCTGGATAAACCACAGAGCACACAACAGTTTTCACTGGAACTGCTTTATACTGAGGAAATAGCCCCTATGAAAACACATGGCATGTCTTGTAGATTATCAAGAGTAATGGGAAGTTGGAAGATTTCCTTGTATTGTGATAAAGGCAGAAATCTCAGAGACATGTCTCCCAAAACCTGGACAAATAAAATCAATCTGCATGGGCTAGATGTAAGTGAGAAAATCTGTGGATGGATGAACTGACCCTTTAAAATGTCTTCAGTGGGAAAAACTGTACACTGATATTGCTGTCTTTTCCCCCATGGAATGCAAAAAGGTTTTTTTTTTCACAGTCCCAGATCTTACTGGAATAAAGTTTATATCACCTTTTATAACCTCACCAATCGCTTTAGCTTGCAGAAACTGATGACCCTGCTTCTTACATGGACCTGTCACTTGTTTTGGCATTAAAATACAAGACAAATTTCCTTGATTCTTCTGTTCTAACATTTAAAAAAAAAAGGGGATGCAACCATGCTTTCTACAAGGATGCATTGACTTCATTTTTCTCAGCTTCATCTGTACCAGAAGCAAAATAAGGCAAATAAAACTGCATTGAAAGAGTGTGACCCCTTCCTAATAAGTTTGGGTTGAATACCAATGCTTCCTTCAACAAGCTTTAGCACTCAGATTGACTGATGTGTGGAATATAACAATAAAATTATACAGGACAACAATGGGCAATAAATGTTCTTTGTAAAGAGAAAAGATTTAGTTAGTCGCTGAATCTCAAGAAACATAGTGCATACTGGAAACACACACACGATCTTCTACTTGTATGGAGTTCTTACTTGTAGAGGAGAATATCGGCGGCCTGGAGGACAGGATACGTGTAGAGACCAACACTGCCTTCATTCTTTTGTTTGCTCTTCATCTAAGTAAAACGCACAGGAAGGAAATTTAAGCAAGTGGAGATGGAAGAAAAAATTAAGGGATAAAAGAAAAAACTTAAAGCAGACAGGAGGAAACACTGACTCAAGTGCTTCTTTTCTTTCCCCCTGAAAGAGCCATTCTCACTTTTACGACCCATCGACTTTCAGACAAACGGGGTACGGATGAGTTCACGGGACATTTTCCACCATGTTTGAGATCAACTCATCTGTTGGGTAAACAAAAGGTGATTTCTCCAAGAACAGAGAACCGCTGGCTCTTTGACTCGGTCTCAACGTGTATTAAAACTGCATGTGGCCGGGGAAAATAACTGTAATCACAAGACTTTTGTAAAATCTGGCGGGTGGTTAAGAGAAACAAAACGATAAAACAAGACAATAGGGATGTTGGATAAATGCCGGACACTCAGAGGGAGAGGAAAAGGGAATGATCTTAATTTAACTATTAAACTGAAGTTAAGCGCAGACGTGGCAATAATTAAACCAGCGTGATTCTGAACCAGCAAGGGAGCGAGAGGAGGTCAAACCTTTGATAGACATATAACATCAATTATAATCACGAGATATGTAATTTACTATAAAGGGAGCCGTCGTCATCTACAGATTGCAGGTTGCTTGATAAAAGATTTGGCTGTACAAAAACTATGTCAGTCACAGAAATCCAAGCTGGATTTTAGGGCCAATCTCCATTTAATTGTGTTCAGATATGAAATAAATACTTCTCATCTCATCATGTTTGTCAAAAACAGATTTGACCGCAGCAAGTAACAGGATACTATGGTTAGACTCAATTTGATTTTACGTCAGCATTGCATCTTATCATAATGACACAATTTGGTCAGAAGGTTTTTTATCTGCTGAAGTATCTATAAGGCTCCAGTAACGTACTGTCGTTAATCATAGTAGGGACAAAATTAAACTGCATCTATTTTTGTTGTTTGAGACTGAAGTGTTTTAGTCTTTGTAGCTGAAATGCCACAGAAACAGGTCGCTCTCCGATCCGACAAAGGAAATCAACAAAAAAAACTTCATGAAACTGTCCCTTTACAAACGGTGATTTTATCATTTCATAGTTTTATTTTATAGTTTACTGTATATATTATTATATCATCTTACATCTCACTGAAGAATAGTGAATGGATATATTAATCTAAACAACTGAAGGGACTTTACTTATATTTATTATCATTATTTGGTTAAAATAAATGCTACAAATAATAAGATTATTATATAATTGTAGTCCATGTTTAACATACTTACTTTTGAAAAAACTCAATAATATTACGTTTTAACAGATGTTTGTAGTCTGGCTTGTCAATCATTAATGCAGTGTCATTAGCCCACATCCAATAAAGGCTTGTTAAAAAAAGACAAGATAATTTGATACCTATAACAGAAGTGTTTGTTATTTTTATAATCACATTTAAATACATCCACAAATTAAGTTATTGTGAACTTGTAATACTGCACCACAGCAACAGAGAAAGAAGACAAGGTTATAAACACAGCTGATTACAGTCTGTGTGTCACACATGATTATAAACAGTAAAAAATGACTCCGTAATCTCTCAGCACCCTTAACTTCCCTATTTACCAAGTGCGAAGTTACTTAAATGGGTACTTTGCTGCCTCGGTGACTGCTCTAAAAGGCTCAATGATCATTGTCTGATCATTTTATGTGCATGTTTGAGTGTCTGCTGCAGGAAATCTGAAAAGTCTCACCTTCCACTGAGGTAGGTGTCGGAGGCGGGGCATGCTGGTCAGACAGCCGAGGATCCAGGAGAGCTCAGTGTGCTCGGACACCTGCAGGGTCGAGAGAGAGGAGGGTTGGGGACACATGCAATGTTACTGTCACAGAACAATCATCTATTATAATCATTATAAAAATATATGATATATTATAAAAATATATGATATATATGATATTGATCTATTATTAAAAACACCACACATGAATTTCAAGATCTTACAGTTTAAGTACAATAAGGTAGCCAAAATATATCTTGAATTGAATCCTTTGTCCTAGATGCAATAACTTGATTTTAATGGGTCATATGTTTTAGTTCATTTTTGGATCTTTAATATTTCACTCGGCAGTCATTCTTTCCTAATCTATAACCTGCCATATTTGGAACCCGAGCTCTCTGTAATAACTCACAAGCATCTGCAAATATTTTGGCTCATTAATTAGGAACTTGATGATTTAAATTTAGATACAGCAAGTGATGTCTTTACTACAACTAAAGAACATGATCACTGCACAACACCGTTTGTTGCTCATGTAGAAGAATTGACACTCTGGCCCAAGGAGTGGTTGTTCCTGCTGTAGTTGCTAATTTTCTGCGTATTTTTCTCCTTTCATTGTCATTGATTTCTTTCTCTTTTTCCCCAGAGTTATATTCTTCATTTCTGTTGGGCTCATACACTATACTACTCATAGGGCTGTGAATTCCTGTAACTGCTGGTACGGGTAGGGCTGGGTTAGGAAAAGAATGTATGTGTTCAAAATCAATAAAGAATGTAACAATATACGTTTACACAATAGACAAATGATATATGCACATTTGCATACATTCACATGTATTCAATATGTGTCCGTGTGTTGTACTTTATTTAGTTAAGTTATAAATTAAATGCTCGTAACCTACAGAAAAGAATTTGAGAGATAAATAGAAGAAATTAATTAAGCAGACAGATTAAACAAACACAGATAAATGGGTTACAGGTGGTCCCTTGTGGGACAGCTGTGGGGTAGGAAGAGGGCGACTCCCTAGCGCCTCCAAGTGGCAGAGAACAGTACTGTCCCTCTATGCTTCTCCCCATCTGTCCACTCCCCACACAGACAGGTGCACACCTGGGTTTACTGTTGAATGAACTGTAGAAAGACAGATCAACACACATTTCCTGATATTAACAGAGCTAATTCAAAATGTGGCTTCATAATAAACATAATCTGTGCTGATATGGGGCCATTTGTTTGAAATGTGTCTTTAATTTTGTCCATCTTAAAGAAAGAATAAGCAATATGGAAGACTTTGTTAGCCACAATTGATGATTATTGCGCTATGATCACTTTTATAACAAAAACAACACAACTTTTTTACACATTAGTATGAATCCGGGGGGGGGGGCATAAATGACAACATGAAGCAATCCTGGATTTGTAAACATCTGTGTTCTCATTGGGGTTATTAGTGTAAGTCATCGATGCCTGTTATTTGGGGAACACCAGATATCAGCTAATAAACACAGGTACACTAAACACTGATCCATCCCTACAGTTCAGACATCAGACATCACTATCTGCCTTAATTGAGCAAGACACTGAACCTCTAGCTTCTCCAGAGGCGTGTGACCTCTGATAAAATCATCAGCTAAAAGAATAAATGTAAATGTTAATTGTTGCTGCATAGATATGTGAATTTGCTCTTCAAGTTTATGTTTTAGTTGTGTTTTTTTGTCTGTTGAAATGGCAATACATTTGTTTGCTGAATTAGCTTAATTTAAAAATGTAGTTATTGTGAAGTAACTGATTGGCGAATGTTAATCTAGTGTATCTTGTGCATCTGGCACTGCTAAATGAACAACATATCCACTTTCATTGAGGCTATTCTGAATGTGAAAAAATAAATGCTTGTGTGTGTGTGTGTGTGTGTGTGTGAGTGTGAGAGAGAGAGAGAGAGAGAGTGTGTGTGGGGGGGGGGGGATGCAGGAAATAGCCTTCTGCTTCAGCAAATTAAACTTTATGGACGCTGGCAATATTGACATCCCCTCTTTCTCTTGTAGCTTGAAAAGCATTCTGGGGAGCGTGACGTCAACACCAGACAGCAGGGACATAAACCAGGATTTCAAGCTAACATGTAGGGGGCCGGTATTCATTACACAGACAGACAAGAGATGGGACAGATGTCGATGACAGCGCCGAAAGGGATGGATATGGTTTGAAGTGCAATAAAACACTGATATTTAAAAGCTTGAGAAGAACAAGGTCTCCATTCATGAGGCATGGCAAGAAGAGAAATGCTAATGTTACGGATCATATGGATATTACACTGATAGTGAGATAGCAAACAACCATGGCAACAACTCATTAAGACTGTAAAGATGGGATTTGGGAAACAGCCGTTGAACAATTGGCCCTGCAGTATATCAACTTTTCTTCACTTCTATAAAACCCAGAGGGCTTGTGGATCTGCTGATTCATTCACTTCATTTCTGATACAGCTCGTCACCAGATCTGCTCCTTTTTGTTTTTTTCAATGAAGTTGAGTATTTTCTTTGGGCAGTCGCTGTATTTTTACATGTGGAGCAGGCGTGTTCAAAAGGAGGGTCAGTCGCACCGCTGCCAAGTTATGTGGCATGAAGCTAAACGGGAATAAAAATAGGACTGTGAGTATGTGTGTAGGGGAGGGGAGTGGCAGAGAAACACAGATGGACCGAATTTAACTATCTCACCCTCTTTCTCACTCACACACACACACTTCAGCTTCTAAACTTGTGAAAAAGAAAACAGTATCAAGAGAGAACCATCAGCTGTTCTGATTTCTCTCATCATACTCACTTAAAATTTAAGCCTGAAATCTGGAATCTAGTCATCACCCTTTCTCAGTTTCTTCATGTGGCCAAAGCAGGACTTAATGGTGGTTTATAGGTAGGTGTGTGCGTGTGTGCGTGTGTGCGTGTGTTTTTATAGCCCCAGTGAATTTGCACAGCATACAGTGGTGATAAGAATCAGGAGTGATCAAATAAGCGTTTTTGGACCAGCTGGCATGTCAGCGGGTAAACATCACAGCAGCAGTAAAATAAACAGTAAAAGATGGCTGACCGTCAAGATGACAAACACGAAAACAGACTTTTAGAAAAGACACACATATTTTCATAAGCATACACGAACATACTTTCACACTAGTCCACTGCAGCATTGATCATGTAAAGATCAGATTTTTTGCCACAAAGTAAACATGTGTGCACAGGCACATGTCAGGAAAGAGCGCTTCGTATGTGATTACATATGAATATTACTGTTCTGCCGATGAGTAAGAGTGTTATTCATTTATCTTTCCAGGTATTACAAAGGAGCTTACATTTAAACACACGTTCATAACACATTAACAATGCATTCCAAATGTCCACGGTGCCCACACAATAATGTTTTGGCACAGAGAAGCATTTATCAGACATGAAGTCAACACGGTGTCTAAACATCATTGCACTCATAAGGTAATCCTGAATTATTCAAGATTTTCAGAAACACATGACCTAACAATTTTGTAATATTAACGTTACATTGGAGAAAACAATTTTATGTCAGGCAAACAAAATCCATCCATCCATCCTCTCCTGCCCACCTGAGACTGCTGAAAGAGTATTGCCCTATCTGAGTTGATGCCGCAGGCCAGCAGGCTGGCTGCCATGTCCAGTATGTTGCTCCTGAGTTGGGCTGGGTCCTGAGGCTGGGTGATGGAGTGCAGGTCCACAATGCTGTAGAGCACTGAAGGATACTGGTTCTGCAGGGCCACCCAGTTCTCCAGTGCACCAAGGTAGTTACCGAGGTGGGGCACCCCAGTTGGCTGGATCCCAGAGAATACGCGCCCACCAGGAGACACCTGGAGAAAAGGGGGGAAATGCTCAGGTTAGCATTATTTTATACAAGATTCTCTGTGAGGATATGTTCATATAATTACCTTAAACAAACCAGACTCACACCTTTATTAGGGCTAGTGTCTCACATAAATCGTGTCTCATGTGCTTATAGTACCCATAATATCTGTTTCTCAAAATTAATGCAGTAATGATATTTTTATATAAAACTCAAGATAATGGACAGAAGAAAGAGATGAAAGAGAAGAGAAACTAGTGTTTGGAGAGAGAGGCTGAAGGTGAAAATGTTAGAAAGTCACAACTAGAGAGAAGCCTGCAGAGACTGAAGTGTCAGTGTTAAACTATTGGCAGGTTAGAAGCCAGCAGCAGTCATGCTTGTATTAACGAGATGCTAACTCCACGGCTATCACCTCAGTTCACTCCCAAACACATCCAGCATAAAGAATGCATCACCTCACTGGCCAACAATAACAATTAACATCCGTCCAGCCAACCTCGAGACCTCTGTTACCACAACGGGGAAGTACAGTGAAAAAGTAGGGGAGGCAGAACCACAGAAATGGATCAAATACATACATGCAGCCCAACAGTATAACACAGACCTTATTTTACAGAGCTGGAGCTATGAGAGCAATTGACTCTTCACCCCCCTTGAAAGAAAGAGGGAGATCACTTTTTGTGTTTGTATTGCTGGGCAAACATTGTTTTTTTTCCTGCAAAGCCTTGCCAGGCCAGACCGCCTCATTTCTACTGGCATGGGCCCACTCCGCTGAACCCTGGCTTTCAATTGGCCCTGCTGGAAGAACATCTTAACCACTGCTTGTAGCACCAAGCACTACATGATACAATTAGAGGGCAAGCAGAGCGGCACCTGTCATCAGACATGAAACCGCAAATGGTATCCAAAATCTGGGGCTTCTTCACCAAAGCCGTTACACAGTAGATTAGGACTTCAACAGAGGGGGAAAACACATAGAACCAGGCTGGAACGTGATGTTTTTGTTGGGCAGTTATAAAGACAAAATTGTTGGCGCCTGGGTGACACACATTTGTCTGTCCACCACGGAGGCCAGGGTTTAGTTCCCGGCAGAGGTGCAGGGCTGTGGCTTGGCCGGGTGCTCTAACTCACAGGTGAGAAGAGGGTACAGGGATCATGTCCTTGTTGGGGTGTGTAGGTGGAACATGTGGTGGAGACAACATAAACCTCTAGGTGCACAAGGATAAGAATTATATGAGGTGTTCAAAATCCAGAACAAAAGAGGGGCCAGCAGTGCCAGAGACTTTTGTATATACAAGGAACATGTCCATCCTGAAAATAGCACTGCAAAGGCCTGTATTGTTAAAGGTATGTCGCTACAGGTTCATACCAGGGAGTCTAATTTTGTTGAAAATGGCCATGATTTTCATGATCCGATGTCCCTTACTATTTTGGTGATGTTAAAGTTTTACAACTCTGGAAAATGATTTCAGCAGCAGTCATTTAATTGTCCATCTTGATGACTGTGAGCTAAACAGCAGCATAACACTGTTCAAGTGAACAAGACTAGAGTCTACAGTCAGCTCTATAAGACTATACTTGCACAGCAGTGCTTTGAGCTAAATCCTACTATCGGTATGCTATGATAGTACTACCATGCAGATGTTAACCAGGCTTACTATATTAGTTTAGCATGTTAGCATGCTAACATTTGCTACTTAGCACAAAATACAGCTGAGGCAGATGGGAATTTCATTAGTTTTGCAGGTATTTGGTTGTAAACCAAAGCATTTGACTAATTAAAACGTTGAACTGACGACGGCGGTAGATGAAAAGTCAGGGGATCATCAAAGGCCCTGTTTACACCTGGCATTAACATACATTTTGGGTCATCTGATCTCATGTAGACAGTTCCACGTAGATCAGTTCATACCTGGCATTAGAATGTGTCTTCATATGAGTCTCGAGTGATCAATTGATCAGATCTCTCTTCTACGCTCCACAGACATTATTTCCGTTTGAAAAGACCAAATATGCTTAACCTGAATTTGATGAATTTACCATTTATCAGACCACAAGTGAGACAAGAGTTAGGTTGGAAAACCAATAGACAGAGTTGCAGTGTTTCTGAGGGCCGGGCCCATAACTTTAGTCACTGATGTTTGTGAAACTGGATCATAATATAGAAAATATTTATAATTGGTTTCGCTTCCAATGTTCTCTGGCCGGCGGTCCAAAGCTCCTGTGCTAGTGGTGTAAACAGTAACACAACCCCGGTGCTCCGAGCTCCCAGTCTGGGCAGAGGACATCAACTGAATAGATGCTCAGATGTCCTGGCCCAGGACATATTTGCAGTACACACTGGTAAAAGAATGTGGTCATATGTGGCCCATACCACCTCCAATTGTGGTGTAAGTAGAGCTACAACTAACGGTTACTGTTATGTTGTTGATTATAATAATGACAATTATTTTCTCAATTGTGAATAGTGAATTTTGACAGATTAACTGATTATCAAAATGGTTTATTTCGCAATTAATTTAATACAACTACTTGGTTAGTCGATTAACCATTGCAGCTCTAGGTCTACATGATCAGATCTCAATGGGTCCTCAATGCGTCTTGGGTGCATTCAGGGCGGAAGTTATTACACGTCCTCCTCAGGAGAACATGAATGTTTGTTACAAATTTCATGGCAATCCATCCAATTGTTGTTGATACATTTCACTCAGGGCCCTAAGAACTGGTACTTAATAAATTGGCACAAAACAATCTTCCCACAAGGTCCATTAAAAAGTTGTTTTTAAGGTTTCGATTGTATCACACACCACACTGAGTTTGGCCAGTTGTCATAGAACTGTAAATATTCATTTTAAAAACTACTCACGTTGGCTTAAACCAACTTGTCAACAGGTTTTACTAGTTTACCAATTCTAAAGCTCTTGAAAAAGGCTTTGGCTAAAGTCTAGAGAGTGTCCGTGCTGTCGTAAAACAAAAAACACAAGCAGAAAAAAAAAATAAAAAAGCAAACAGTCAACATGTAATTACATAAAATTATAGACTGTATAAAAGAAGTGGACGTAGCTACCATGGCGCCACCCATTGGTTTTATGGACTACCGTTTTGAAGCTTTAAATTTGGCATAATAGCTGCTGTCATCTTGTTTTTTTTTGGAACTAGAAGTGACCATATTTGGGCGAGGGTGGAGTTGGGGAGAGATATACATTACTACGCCTGACAGGTCGCCGTAGTAGCGACTTGTTAATCACAATGAAACCACGCCCTAAAACATACCCTGCTTTGTCTTCTATTTAACTTTAAATTGGACCATAATTATAATAATAAATAAAACTGAACATCATGCTATATTGAAGAAGACCTGAAACTAGCGATTGAGACCATAAACTCATTATTTAAGTGTTTACTAAGGTAATTAATCAAGTAAGATGACTTTCTCATAGACTTCTATACAATCTGACTTATTTTTGCAACCAGTGGAGTTGCCCCCTGCTGGCCATTAGAAAGAATGCAGATTTAAGGCAATTCTTTATTGGCTTCACTTTTCAAACCCAGAGGCTCCCACTTCAAATCCAGTCAAATTAGTTAATTTAAATTTTGTGTTTTAGAGTGCTATGTTGGACAACCCTAATAAGAAGAACATACGTGTATGAAGAGCAAAAGCCTCTAAAACTGTATGGGTGTATTTCAGAGTAGTGCCTCCTGCACAGCAGTAGAAAAACAGCACATTTTTAACCAGCAACTTAAAATAAAAAGTAAACTTTTGTCAATTGTTCTGATCTAACAAACTGTTCTGATATAAACAGTACATCTTGATGTTGATATTGTAAATATCACTTTCAAAGAAAATGACCCACAATTCTGATGAGGTTAAGTTTGTTTAAGTTCGACACGAGATGTGTTGATGGGATGTAAACAGCAACAGCTGGACAGAGGAGCCCGTTTTAAAACGTTTCCCCACAAAACCCATGGGATCTCTGTGTTATCACCTCAAATCTGACTGCCGATCATATGTTCGCCGGCTGCAGTCTTTAAGGTTATCATAACTAATCATTAAAACCTGAAGCTTTCAGAGGATATCCTCTTCAGTCGCTGCTGAGATATCGGTTATCTTGACAGCTAGCTGAGCTACATCACATTCAATCTGACTGAGGGACAGGCACAGCACAGCCTCTGAGATCAGATAACAGCTGCTCTCTCACCAGTTTGGCCCAGAACTTCTCCATCTCTCAGCCCTGAGGGATCGAATAACAACTGCTCTGAGGCCAGCGTGGTCCACAAAGTCTCCATCTACCGGCCTGAGGGAGCTGGTCGCTGCCCGGCCAGAGAGAGGCAGGAAGGAACTGGGTGCTTATGTCATTACCGACGGGGTAATTGCACTGGAGTGCCATTGATGCTGAGAGCCTCTTAAGAGGTGTCAGGATTGATTTGGGTGCAGACGGGGCCCCGAGTCTGGCTCATGTGTGTTCTCACCTCGAGCTGACACGCCAAACGCATGTTCCCCCTCTGCTCCGTCCCCCAGGGGAAACCATTAGCTATGCAGACATGGTAATGGTGTCATTTGAGCCAATCGAGTGTCAAATGAGAGTCAACGCCACGGCTAACTAGCCACTGGGCAATCGCACTATCATGCATAATGCTACTTCGCCAGACACCTCAGTGTTACTGTTGGTCAGAGGAAAGTGTCTTTAAACATGTGCCTCTATAGCTGTTGGAAGTGAAAGTAGGTTACACAAAGAAGTAAATCAACTACTGCATGATGACAGAGGAGACAGCAAATGTTGTAAAAGCAATTATTGTTTGTAAGGAATACTGCACTGCAAAGCCAAGAGTAATAAAATACTATCATCTAGCATACCTTGGCCATGGACTATATTAAACCTGTGCAAATTCATTCATTTCAGCATTCAGATACTTGTAGAGTGCTTGACTTAATTTGTTGGAGATGAAATGGCACCTTGTGGCTTGTTAGAAATTCCAGTAAGATAAATCAAATGCACTTCAAACGGT